CTCCCTGACCTAGTTTAAGACCATCACTGTGGTGGCATCTACTGCAGAGAGAGGAACGCAACATATAAACACAAACTGGAGGAGGAGAGCAGAGCTATTTGGGTCAGGATTCAGATAAAGAAATAGAAAGCTCTCCCTATGGATTTTGGCCCATTTCTTTTTCCACTTTTGTATTTGAGCCATGTCCTAATTCCTTCTTGTTATAAACTAGCTAGGGTGTTGGAGCACAGATGACAAAGACTTCCCCGACTACAGTTCCATTAACTCCATCTGAGACAGAGGCCAAGGACAGGGCCTGGACTTGTGCCTTCAAACAGGAATTGATGACCTGCTGACTGATTCTGTTTGGAGCGGAGACCTGCAGACTTTTAAGGCTATTAGAGCTGGTCTCAGCACTGAACTTGGTCCCTTAATTCAGCTGTTTGTTGTCTGCTTTGGGTTTTGTTGAGAATTCACATGGAATTCTGAATCTCTACTCACCTTCTGGACTGGGATAAAGGAGATGATGATCCTGAAACCAGGTATCAAGGGCAAGTACTCTGGTCAAGGCCCAAACAGGTCTATTCAAATCAGACAGTTCCCTAAATAAGGAAACAAAGGAAACTGCAGAGTAGGTCAAATGCTCTGTCTGTAAATTAGTAAATTTGAGGGCTGATCATGTGCAGCACACTGTGCTGAGGACTTCACACGTGTGTCGCTAAGAGCTGGATGGGGGAAGCTCTATACAATTGTTACCCGAATTTCCTATCATGTGCTCAGCCCCAACCTGCCCTCCCCACTTCTCCCAGGAGCACAGCGGCTGGAGCCTTGGAGACTTTATTTCCCAGACTGTGTCAGTGGCAGGCGAGTCCCTATCTGTGGTCTCTTCCTCTGTAGTGTGTCACAGTCCTCTGCACCTTGCTTTCTTCCAGGGGGAAACTTAGACGAGGTGACCCCAAGAGCTTGCCCAGTCCCCATTACTCTGGATAAGGAAACCTGGGGCCAGAAATGCAGGTGAGTGCCCTGCACATGCTGACTTGGCAGACTGTTCCACTTGCCACCCTGTGGCCTCTCGAGCTGCCTTTCTCCCCCAGGCCACCATGCACCTCTTCTTTCTCTTGCCAGTTTCTCTATTGTGAGCCAAACCTGGGGCTCAGGTTCCCATGCAGAGTGCCCCAAGTACAGTACTGTGTCAGTTACCACACTTGAGGTGAGATCTCCCACCCCAGATCTTCACCAAGGTGCTCGCTCTACCTATCCACAGGCAAGTCCATGCTGCAACTCTGTGGGCTGCTGCAACTCTGTGGGCTGCTGCATCCACATATCCACACAGTTCACACTGCATTCTGTAAAGATGCACACATTAGCATATTTTCCCCTTTCAATTGTGAAAGAAATTAAAACATTTTTGTGGCTCCCCTGGAAGTCTTGTCTCCACTGTGCCTCTCCTAGCCAGTGCATAAGGAGGACTCGTGCTCATGATTCCCCCACAGTCTGAGGCTCTGTCTTGAAGGCTCAGAGGGACCAAGCCTCAGAGCTCTCCCAGAGCTAGGAACAGTTTCTGTTCCCACCAACCAGAGTGGAAATCCTCTTTATTCACAGGGCATGGTGTAGAGTGCTGAGTATTAGTCCCACCTCAGAAAGCTTAAAAACAAGTCCTGAAAGGATCCAATGGTTTCTAAGCAACTCCTGTGTTGCAGAATAGATACTGAAACACAGAATGCTTACAGCAGCACAAAAATATCCTGCATCTCAAAAAGTAAAATTCACAATACGTCTCACACATCCAGTCAAAAACTACCAGGCACACAAGTGATAAAATAAGACCCATAACGGAAACCATCAGTCAATCAAAGAGACCCAGAAATGACATTGACAATAGTTAGCAGATAAGGACACTTAAACAGTTGCTGTAAATGTACTTATGTACTCAAAAGGCTGGAGGAAAGATTGAACATGCGAGTAGAAACATCAAAGATATAACAAAGCTTCTAAGCAAACATCAAGAAAGGAAAAAAGTACCAAGAGATGAAAATCAGTGTCAAAGATAAAAAACTGGATGGTATTAATGACAGATTAAGCATTGCAAAAGAAAAGATTGGCAAACTTGAAAACATAGACATGGAACAGCTGAAACTATACAAAATGAAACTTAATGATTTTTAAAAGGCTGGAAAATGATTAGAGTATCAATGGGACATTTAATTGGGATAGCCAAACAAGATGAGAGAACTTAAAAAATAACTTTTAAAAACTTGGAGATTTAATAGCACAAAGCTTCTAAGCTTGATAAAAACTATAAACACACAAGTTCAAGAAGCCCAGTAAAATCCAAGCACAGAAACTGAGAAGCACAAGACATGAAGGTGTGTCCTAACTGTTTTCACTTCTGAGGACTGCTGTAATGAACCACCCTAAACGGGGTGCTTACAGTAACAGAAGGTTACCTTTCACAGTTCTGGAGGCCAGAAGCCTGAGATCAGGATGTCCCCAGGGCCACACTCTCTCTGCGGGCTCCAGTGGAAGGCTGCTTCCCTCCTCTTCAGAGACTCAGTGTTTACCACAATCCTTCGTGTTCCTTGGCTGATTTCTATCTCCATCTGCCCATTCTCTCCATGTGTCTGTTTTTATGTGACATTCTCCTCTAGGTGTGTGTGTGTACACAAATTTCCCTCATTTATAAGCTCACCAGATTAGGATCGAATCTAATCCAGTATAACTTCATTTTAACGTGAATATATCTGCAAAGAGCTTATTTCCAAATAAGGTCACGTTCACAGGTACCAGAGGACAGGCCTTAGATGTATTATTTTGTGGCAACACAATTTTACCCAGTATAATCAAGTTGCTTAAAACCAGTGATTAAAAGAAAATCATAAAAACAGTTAGATGGGTTAAAAATATGTGCATCATGTACAGAGGAACAAAGATGAGGATCACATCATACTTTTCATGGGAAACTATATAAACCAAAGCAACAACAGCCAAAGGACAATAGAATAACATCTTTAAATTACTGAAAGGAAAAGTCATCAACCTAAAATTTTGTACCCAGCAAATTCTGTTTGATGAACAAAGATGGAACAAAGACTTTCTTGGGTGTAAAAAAGCAAAAAGTACCCATCACCAGTAAATCTCCACTACAGGAAATGTTAAAACTTCAAAATAGAAGGAATAGGACACTAATGGAAATATGAATCAAAGAATAAAGAATACTAGAAATGTTAACTACAGGGGTAAATAAAAAGTAATTCTTCTTGTTATTTATATATCCATATAAAATAATTGACTATTTAAAGCAAAAATAAAACTATGTTATGGAGCTTATAATGAGTACAGACTAAACAATATGATAATAATAGCATAATGACCAGGAGGCAAGGGACGGAAATACACTATTTTAAGGTGCTTACTGTATACTATGACGCAGTATTAATTGAAGTAGACAATGATAAGTTAAAGATCTTTACTATAAGCCTCAAAACAACCACTAAAATAACACAACAAAGAGGTATAGCTAATAAGCCAACAAAGGAAATTGACTAGAATCATACAAAAATTCTTTATTCTAAAAGAAGGGAGAAAAACATTGAAAGGCAAGAAAAGAATAAGTGTGTTAGCTTTCCATAGCTGTGACAAAATACCTAATGTTAACAATGTAAAAGAAGAGAGGTTTATTTTGGCTTACAGTTTCAGAGGTTCCAGTCCATGGTCAGCTCCACTGCTTTCAGGGTTGTGGTGAGGAACTGTTTCATGGTCTCTTCCAAGAGCATCTGGTCTCCTTGTCACTAGCTTGCTCTGCTTGGATCATAGCTGTTGCCTAAGCCGTTGTCTGCTGATGCCTCCTGATGCCACATGTGCCTGATTTTCCCTAGGAGAGGACCCTTTCTCCAGGGCCAATCTTCGGGGTCCCTTCCCAGATTCTTTGCTCCTCCTCTGTCCAGATCTCTGAATGTTGGGAGGCCCTGGATTGGAGGCTCAGAACCAGCCCCCTCTCCAGCCCCCTTTCCTTCCCTAAGTGAAATCAACTGGTTCCATGGCCTCAGATGTCATCTCTATGCTGGTGGTTTTTCAGTTTTTCATTCTCAGATTGCTTCCAAACTCCAGAACCATACCACAAGCTTCCCTCTTCCACGTCTCCACTAGGAAGGTTTCCACCTGGGTGTGGGCAAACTGAATGATTCATTCACTCATTCCCACACTAGCTTGCTCCTTCCCACCATCCATGCCATTGCTCAGGCTAAAGAAGTGTGGACTCTCCCCAGTGCCTGTGAATTCAATAGAATACATTCTGTCCTTAGAAGAAGGTCCTCCCTGCCTGGATCCGCCCACCTGGCAGAGTCCTCTGTCCAGGACTCTCCTCCTGCACCCCCTGGATCCCCACTGGGCTTTCTGCTTTCCAATTCCTCCCTGACCTGGGCCATTTGTACTTCCAGACCCTTCTATTTGTAAAGATTTTCCTTCAAGCACCCAGCCCCATGGGTCTGCTCCTGACATGCTGCCACCTGCAGGCCATTGTGAGCTTAGGTCCTTCAGTTCCCCAGTCAGCACTTGGAGAGGGCAGAGACCGCCCCTGACCCACTAGCTGAGATGGCCTGGAACACAATTCCACAGCCCTCAGTACAGCTCCTGACCTTGACACACTTGTCTTCTTATCATCCATCAGGACCTGAAATCAGCTGCCTTCTGCATTTGCTCTCACACTTATGGCTCAGGGTTCCAAGCCCCTGTCTTCAATAGAATTTTCTTCGGGGCAGGGAATGAAGGTGTCTGCTATCCTTCTCGATGTGCCTGAAGTGACAGGTATCTGTGAAACAAATGTTATTGCTACAGTTGCAAGGAGAGAGAAATGTGCATGTTTTCCATACATTTCAATCCTAATATTTACCATTTTGGGGGAAATGGTTATGAGGGTTTTTTTGTTTTTTTGTTTTTTTTAGCTCTATTAGAGCTCTTAATCTACTTTGCAGCACTTACAAATGTTCTTCTGAAATAAGAAAAAGACACAGGAGACACAGGCAGCTTGTATCACTGAACTGCAGATTTTTATTAGGACAAGCATTTCTTGTAGCTATAAGCAAAGTATTCAATTCCTCAAGCTAATGCACTTCTCCCTCCACAGAGCACTGAGAGAGAAAGCCCCTTACACACAGCCAGGTTCCACAGAGCAAAGCAATTCCGAAGTGATTCGTCCAGGCTGCACCTATGTGCACGCTGCAAGGCACTAGAGGGCAGGTGATGCGGAGGTGGACAGGGCGCAGAGGAGGGCCCCGAGTCCCCCAGCCCTGGCCAGCAGTCTCCGGCTCCAGTCCACAGCTCCCATGGCAGGCGCCCAGAGGGGAATACATGGCAGTCATTCAATCTGTTTAGAGCCCAAATAATTCAGAAAATGTCACAGTATTATTCCCACCCTAACGTATCAGAAGACAAAATACATTTTTATCAACTTGCCATTGTACTTCCTGAAAAGCAAACCTCAATAAAACCCAGATTTTTATCAATGCACTTGAATCACAGAAGCATCAGCCCATTTAAGGGGAATGTTTTTACTGGAACCTGCAGGAGTTACCGTGCCAGGAGAAGTTACTTCCTAATACCCAGGGAACAGGAAACCCCTGTGCCCCCGAGGCCGCAGTAGCCATCCGGGTTCTTGCTCAGGTACTGCTGGTGGTAGTCTTCCGCGTAGTAGAAAGTCTGTCCCTCCCGGATGTCAGTGGTGATCCCACCAAAGCCGTGCTCTGACAGACCCTGTGGAGGGAGAGAGACCTCAGGCTCCGGTGCTGGACACGGACCTCCTGGAGGAGGGCGGGCAGCTGTGGCAGGCAGCGGATGGTGGCCAGGTTGTGCGCCGGCTCTGCCCTTCACAGTGGGTGACCTGGGTGGGCACTTTCCCTTCTCAGCCCCGGTGGACCAGGTCTTGAAGTCAGGTGTGAAACAGGTTTTTGACTCTATTTTGCTCCACCCACTGCCCACTACTGCCCGGCACCTGCTGGGGCCCTGGCTGGACCTGCAGTCGCTGGGAGCCGCCCTGAAGCTCCCCTAGGGGACAGCAGGCACAGGTGGCTCCTGACTTCCCAGGAGGAAGGGCGGGCTCCCTGGCAGGACCCCAGCAGGGTAGGGGCAGGCAGGGGCCGCCCCTCTGCCCTCAGTCAGGGACAGGCCCGGCCCACTCCCAGGCTGTGCAGAGGGGCGCAGTGCCCCTGCTCGGTGTCCTGGGGGCAGGGCACCATGGGGCCTGCTCTGAGCTCTGGGCCAGGGGTGCTGGGAGCCAGGTCAGGGGAGGATGTGGGCTGTGGGCCTGTGTCAGCCCACCCTGCCCTCCGGGACCCAGTTTAGGTCCCAGTGCACCTGTGTGGATGTCACCACAAGCTGGGGGAGGTGAGCAGAGCTATCCGGGGCAGGAGACGGATGAAGAAGTAGCTGCTCCAGTGGAGGTGAGCTCTCCTTCTGCTTTGGGGTGGCAGCTGCGCCTGGGCTCTGGCTTGTTGTGAGCTAGGAGTGTGGGAGCGCAAGGCAGCAGAGACCCAGCCCAGCAGTTGGCTGCACTCGGCACAGAGCTGCAGCCCTCTGGGCATCTGTGGTCAGGACTCTGCCCTGCCAGGCACAGGGAAACCCAGACCAATGTTCAGCCTGGCTCTCTGCTTCCAGCTCCTCCTGAGAACATCAACCTTTTCCCTGAGTCTGCTCAGGGAGAGGCAGACTCACGATCTTATAGCCACACAGCCCAGAATGGCAAGGGATGAGTCCTCACCAAGGTGGATGGTTGGACCAGAAGGGGGAAGCAGCCAGTTTTCTAGCAGGGGTTGGAAGTGAGAATGAGGAGCCATCCAAATGTCAGTTTTGACAATTTCTTTTTTTGTTGTTTTTTTCCTTTTTTTTTTTGGTACAGGGGATCGAACTCAGGTCCTTCTGCTTGCCAGGCAGGAAGCGGAACCACTGAGCTAAATCCCCGGCCTGACATTTTCTTTTTGTAAACTAGCAATTGTTGAGGGCTGACCATATGCCACATTCTGTGTGGAGACTTCACACATGTTAAGTTTAGCTCACAACAGCCCGAAGAAGGAAGCCCTGCTATTGTCACATGTGTTTAAAAGTGTGTGTCAGGTGTCGTGCCTCAGCCCCCCATGTCCTCAGCTGGCCCTGGGGCTGTGGCGGCAGAATGCCTGGGGACCTCATTTCCCAGGTTCAGCTGCCAGCCATGGCCCACTTCAGCTTCCACCAATGAGAGAAGTCCACGTGGAACCTGGCAGCTAGGTGCAGGGAGGGGCCGTTACCTGCACTGCGCCAGGGTGAGGTGGGCACAGGTGTCTGCAGGGAGCCGCTCCTGGCCACCTCCTGGAGCCACTGTCCCTGGGCTGCAGGCAGTGAGCCACCAGACAATGGGTTCTGGCGGTGTCCGTAACTTCTTGGGATCCTGAAATCTAACAGTGCCCTTCCCTGTCTTTCATTCTAATAGTCCTTGTAATGATTTTGAAGACACCAAATTCCCTTTGGAAAAAGCCCACCCTGCTCAGAAGCCTTGACCGGTTTGTTTCCATGACTGAGCCAAGGCAGACCAGGCACTTGGTATGAGAATTGTGTTCAGGAAACAGAACCTCAGTGGGGACAAGGATTGGAGATGGCCTGATGCACAGAAAGGCCAGAGTCAAGGGGACCCAGGGTGGGGTGCCCATGTGTGCAGTGGCGACACGTGGTGATGCAAGCCCTGAAGTCACTGTGGGGACATGGGTGGCTGTGAGAATGGAATACTGTGGAGAAAATGACCAGCATGAGGCCTGTGTGGTATGCAGGCCACCCTGACAGCCGACAGCTTGTAGAGAAGAAAAATCACCAAGTTCAAGACTTGACATTCGTGCTCCAAGGAGAGTTCAGAGAACTGGAGATCTTCGTGATTGATGGAAAAGACTCGCTCCCTTCCTGCAGCTGTGTCCAAACACTGGAGAAGGGCCAGATCCAGAGGGCTCCAGCTTCAGGGTGCCCAGAAGCTGGGGTGCAGTGCTCACCCTCAGAGTCCCCTTGCCCAGGCTGCCAGGCCTGCCCCCAGGAGCCCTCCATCTTGCCTAGGGTGACTCCTGCCTTGATTGCAAATGCTTCCCCACTGTGACCCTCGGCCCCTTCCAGTCTCCTTCCCCTGGGGGCCAGGACCCCCGGCAGCCCCAGGTCTCGGCCCCCAGGTCTGCGCCTCCTGAGGGTGGGCAGCCCCGTGACCCTTCCTCACACCTGCCCGCCTGACTCCCCTCCTTCACAAATGGCTGTCCCTGTACGAACACCGGTGGGCATCCTGCGCCAGGAGTGCTCTGTGAATCAGGCTGCGGGAAGCCGATCCCACTGGCGGGCAGAGCCCGAGGGGAGCCCTGGAGAGGCTGCTGGTGGGGACCAGGCAGTACCATCCTTGCCCACCAGATGGCAGTCACTTCACTCTTCAAGACCTTGGAGCGGGAGGAACCTGACAGCACAGGGGCCGCCCAGGAGATAGTGCCACTGACCGGGTCCTATAAGCCACCTTCGGCGGGGGACGGGGCGGGGGGCAGGACTTGTTCTTGCGGGAAGACTGCCCGTGCTGGGCGCCCGCTCCTGCACCAGCTCCCTAGGAGGACTCGGTCTGGGCGACCCCCTCCTTGTACCCCATTGTCCCATCTCCCGCCCTGCTGACTCCAAAACGATTAGCTCAAGTTGCATGCTTGCGGCGGCGTTTGGGGGTGCGTGCGTGCACGTGTGTGTGTGTGGGGGGGTCTTGTTGACTTTCTGAGAGGGAAATAAGTGGGCCCTGACACTTGGCTCCAGAAATTTCTAGAAGGTCACCTGATGGAAGTGGTCATCATGCCCTCTCCTAGATCTAACTTCATTCTTTCCTCCCACAGCCTGGGAAGCCTTCCGTGCCTTCCTGCATCATCTTCTTCTTGGTCGGAGCTCTCCTCTCTGTCAGGTGGGCACAGGCTGAGCTGCCACGGGGAGCTGAGAGACAAGGCATAGGAGGCATCCCACACTGGCACTGGCTCCTGTCCCACATCCCCACCCTGGCTGACTTCGGGTCCACCCACCCATCCCTCCTGAGGGGCCACATCCAGCCCCTGACACAGCCCCCACTTCTATAGCTGAGCAGCAGATCTCTGTGGGGCAGGCAAAAGAGGGGGCCCTGGGTAGGCTGAGGTAGAGCTCCCAGAGGCTTATTATTCTTCACGTTGCTGCTTCTCTTCACCCCTCAGCTGATCCCACACACCAAGGACTCTATCATCAAGATGCAACATCAAGCACTTGCCTATAATCCCAGCACTCTGGGAGGCTGAGGCAGGAGAATTCAAGCCCAGCCCGGGAAACTTAGCAAGACTCTGGCTTTATATAAAAAAGATGTAGGTCAGTGCAAAAGCCGTGCATTCAATCCTCAACACTACAAAAAAGAAGAAGATGAAAGGAAGAGAAAAAGAAAGAAAGAAAAGAAAAAGACCGAAGGCTAGGAGAGAGCTTGCCCAAGGTTGCCTGCCAGTAGGAGAGCTGGACTGCCTGCCTCCTGCCCCTCAGCGGACCACAGGTCCACACACCACACCCCGCAAACATCCCGAGTGGCACGCCGGGGTGTCGGGAGGCAGTGGTTCCGGTGGAGATCAGAGGAGGAGCTGCTGGCAGTCTTTCCTCTCACACGCCCTGCTCTCTGCCCTCGAAGTGCTGCAGGCCATGGTCACTGTCCAGTGTCACCCACAAGGAGACCAAAGGCAACGGAGAACCTTGCTCAAGTTCCTGTGCTGGACATAGCCGGGCTTGCGGACAGGGCTGCAGACCTGCCCAGCTCTGGGCTCTGTGGGTTTCATGCTTCTTCCCACACACGTGCTGTCCTCACCAGGTACTGTGGAAAGCCAGCACCCAGGGAGCCAAGCAGGTGGGGGCACCAAAGATCAATCAGTGTGCACTCACGAAAACAGGTCGCTAGTTGTGTGTGTGCATACTCACCTGTAAGTGCATACCACATGGGTATGCATATGAGTGCCTGTGAGGACACTGCATGATACAGTCACCCTCACTGTGGACTGACCTACATGTACCTCTCACTTCTTAGGAACTGTATATAAAGAAGAAACTTGAAGGCACATTGTGGTTCTTAGCATCCTGGGGCCGGGTGATCAAGGGCTCCCTTGAGAACCCAGTGAATATTATTATGGGTACCCTCCCCATAGAAACTCACAATCAAATCTCTGCTTATAATTCCCAGGGTTCTGTGACCCTCTGGAGTCCAACCACAACCCCAGATTCAGAGCCTTTAGACAGGACTGCCAAGTCCAGTCTGTCCCGTCTGTCCCCTGAAGCTGCCTCTCCCGGGGCTGGGGAAACCTGCAGGCTCATCCCGTCAGTGGGAACATTTTCAAGACAGATGACCTTAATTTTGATCATAGTTTGAAGGCCCTTGGAGCAAGGACAAACAACCATGCTTGCTAGGGAAAGTCACTCGGGGGGGGGGGGGGGGAGTAGTTCTAACCTGAGAAGGCTCCTATTTATGCAAGGAGAAGTCAGAGCAAGTGAATCCTCCTTCACCCACTGAAAGAACTCAGCTTAAGTGTTTGTGTGTTATTATTTGTAAAACGTATATTTGTGTTTTACTTTATGATTATTTTTAAAAACATTCTAATGGTATGAAATTCATTTCCAAGAACAGAAGCCCAGCTTATGATATAGACCCCATGGGATATTGGGGTTTGACTTCTAAGGGCCCAGCCTGAAATTCCAGGTCCTCTCTGGAGGCAAAGGCTGGGGCGCTG